CATTAATAGAAATAATTTTTATGGCCGTTGAATAAGAAATGTTTTTTTTCACAAGAAATGTATAAAATTACTGTACTAAAATTAATTTATATACTGTACAGACGATAGTAAACTCAACTTACCCGCCTAAACTCTCCGTAGCATGTAACTAGTTCGACTGCTCATCCACTAGTGGTTCAGATTCTACCGATCCTGTCGCGACACGAGTTGGCGATGACGTTTTACCGCAATTTACAAGTCTCTTTTAGTGTCTTTATATGAATACGGTTGCAATTTTTTCACCACGATACACAAATCTGCATTATATGAACCCGTGTTATAGGGGGGTTGACTTGTACTCAATAAAAAATGAAATTCTGTTTATTAAAAAGTGTACAAGAAAGTACACAAGCATTAACAGCATCATAGATGAATTTGTCAGATATATAAATACCACAATTTACAACATACAAAAAACAACTTTTGTCCAAAAATAGTGGCTAAAAAATCTCCATGTCATATATGTGAAGTTGTGATCTCCCATAGACTAGTGAATTCCCCAAATGACTATTAGTGGGTTACAGGTAACCTGGTCAATGTTCTGAGCAGGTATCATGCCATGAATGTGTAACTACTATTTCTGTTTTCTATACAGAAATGGGTGTGCTTGTGTATCTAAAGCCATGTGTTTGTAAATCAGCCAGCTACTTTGAGTCAGACATTGCTTGTGGGTCACTTCTTGCTTTATTTCTCCCCATAGACCTTACTGGTATGGATGGCCCTACTGGAAGCTTGCACTGGCATCATGCTATGGTTCATTGTATCTGCTGAGTTATCTCACCTTAACAAGGTGATAACTAGCAAGAGAATTATTATTCTGTTGGGTTTAGTGAGTTATACTCAGTTGACACTGGTGGCTGTGTACTATGCCAGACCAGAGTCAAGGCATAGCAACCAAAACAGCACACAAATAAAATAAGTGTGTCAGTGTGTGTCTGTTGTATTCAGGAATTTAGTAAGAATATGACATGTATTCATTATAATGGCCTTCTGTAGTGTGATGTATATGTTTCTATTCAATTATAATATTCCCAGGCTTTTGTGTAGTGTGTGGTTAAGACATCTATACAGAAGAGTATAACGGGTACAATAAGCCCCCTATCCATCCTCCACAGATGCCTTATTTCCTGGGCAAATTCTGTGTACTTGCTGTGTTTTGTATATTGTGTATTTGGAATGGATATGTCTATAATGTATGTGATTTTATTGTTTGTCAATGAGTGTGATGTCTGGTCTGTTGTGGTAAATTGTTTTATCTGTGATTATGGCTCTGTCATATTGGAATTGGACAGTATTGGAAAACAGCACCCCAAGATATACAGTACATCTTGTGCATGCTGTTTTCCAATACTGTCTGTGGAATGTATTTGTAGTATGATTTGTGGATGTCTAATAATTTGTGTTTCTTTGCAAGCTCTTGGTGTATTATATTTACTACTTGATTATGTCTGTAAATAATCTAGTTGCAAGCTCTTGGCACAGACAGAAGTGATGTGTTGTATAGTTTCTGGCATGATGTGACATTTTCTGCATGTGTCACTTGTGAGTGTTGTATCTTTGAGTATGTTTTCTGTAGTTTTTAGTATTTATGACCTGATCCTGTATGGCAATTATGAATCCTTCCATCTCCCCAAAAAGGCATCCCCAAGCTAACCAGCTGTTTGATGCAGTTTTGTCAACAAAATCCTGGGCCAGATCGTAGGGATGTCTGTCATGGAATGTCTTTTGAGCCCATGGTTGCTTAATGGTGTCTATGCTTTTTATATGTTGTGTTGTGTCCATGTGATGTGAGTGTAGTTTAATGGTGTGTTATTTGAGTCTGATAGAGTTACAGCTTTATGTAACTATGATGTTTCTTGTATTTTGTAGAAAAACTCTTGCAGTTTCTGTATTTGTTTGTAGCAAAAGTTTACTATGTCGCTCAGGCCATGTCCACCATCTTTATGCGGAAGGATTAATTAATCTTTCTATGGCAAATTAAGGATGATGTTGTTTATGCTTAGTAAGTGTTGTTCTTGTTTTCCTTTGGAGTTGCTTGAGATTTGTGTAAGTCCAATATATAACTCCAAAAGAATAAGTGAGTACTGGGAGGACATATGTGTTTATTGCTTTAACTATGTATTTTGCATTTAACTGTGTTCTGAGTATAGTGTTTAACCTACTTTGGTATTCTTTAATTAGAACATTTGCAAATAAAGCAAAGATTGTTAGTTTGGCCTGTTGGAATCCTAAATACTTGTAGAACTTGCCCTCTTCAATGGATTCAATAACATCTCAATTTCCAAGTGCAAAATCTTCTTTCTTCAGGACTCCTCTTTCTATGTGAAGTGTTTTGCATTTGTCTAGGCCAAACTCCATTTGTATGTCCTTGGTGTATGAATGTGTGATTTGTAGGAGTTGATGAAGTTGTTTTAGTTTGGATGCATAACATTTTATGTCTTCCATGTACATGAGATGTGACAATGTAAACTGTATTGTTTTTTCATATCTGATATTGTAACCATATTGCGTGTTGTTTAACATGTTAGATAATGGGTTCAGGGCTAAGCAGAACCAGAGAGGACTCAATGAATCTCCTTGAAAAATTCCTCGCCTAATGAATATCTCATTTGTTTGTATGGAAGTGTTACTAACCCTGAGATGTGGTGTCGTTCTCCAGTGATGCATAGTGTTTTGGAAGAATGCAATGAGTGATGGATGTATTTTGTACATGTGTAGAATGTGTAGCAGCCAACTGTGTGGAACACTGTCGAATGCTTTTCTCTAGTCTGTATTTGCCATGTGGATGTTTCTGCATTGTTTGTGTGCTTGCCATAGAATGACAATCTGTGAGTAACTGTTCTTTGCATCCCCTGATTTCTACAGCAGCCTTTTTGTTGTTCTGTAAGGATGTTGTGTTCTTGTGTATTTTGTTTGCAATACAGGATGTCAATAATTTGTAGTGTGTTGGAAGACATGTAATAGTTCTGTGTTGTTGTTTTTAGGTTTCATGTAGGTGATGCCCTGAGTAAGAAATTTTGGCATGTCTTGTGGATTGATGATGATGTGTGTTAGGTGATTATTATTATTATTATTAAAACAGCTTTTTCATTATTCATGTAAAATATTTAAATTGTAAATCGAGTGCAAAGGTGCAGGATGGATTAAATATACTAAATATTTTGTCCTAAATATTCTGTGCTGAAACAGGGGTCCATCTTATATGCTGTAAAATATATAGCACAATAATTGTTACCCTAAACATAAACTAATTGCTCTTTTTATTGCTATAAAGTGAATTTTGGCATATAAAAATAATTGAAACCCTCAGACATATATAGTGGATGATTGGTTAACAAACATAATCCGTTCCAAGACTTTGTTCACTATCCGAATTGTTCATTAACTGATTATCGATTTACCATAGGTTTTTATGGGAATTTGATTAATTCGTTCTGGAGATCCCCAAAAATAAAAAAATATATAGTTTCTTACTACTTTTATTTATATGTCATAATAAAAATACATATATACACAGTCTTGCATTTTTATTAGTCATGTTTTTTCCGTTTGTGGGTGTTAAAGAATCTGCCTAATGTCAATTGCTTTTCTCTCTTCTTCAGGATTTTTCAGAAGTAATTAATAGCATTGTAATTGTAGAGATCCATAAGCCTATTAACCTCAACCTGGTTTGGATGCCGTTCTAAGACCATCGTTCTGACATTTTCCCACTTCAAAAGATCTTTAATAGCAGATATCGGCATTAATCCTCTTTTTCAAAAGAAAACATATGTCGTCGAGTTTCTTGGTGTTCTTCTGTCGTCAGATCAGTTTCAGTTTCCATTATAAGCTATTCAATGCTCTTTATTTTTCAGATGTGATTTTTGTTACGCCTTTAGCTGCTTGAGTCTTCTTGATAATACAGTATGTTTCTTAGATAAGATTGAACTGCGGCCTACTGTAGACCTGTTCAAGCCATACTGTCCAGCAACATCAGACATCTGCCCACTCTCACCTTTCGAAAATAAAAACTGACACAAAATTTAACAAGTGCCCGCCCGGCAGTCTTGTGAATACTATAAAAGAATTGTTTCTGTCAGAAAAATAAAAGGTTGGAATTACAGAGGAAAAGTCTCTGATTCTCTAGCAGCATCTCTCAATGAATAAGATCAAAAGTAAAAATCTCTCTTGACACATTGTTGACTAGAGGTAGTTCTTGTTCAATTTTAACTTTGAAAATGATTGTTCTGCAGTTGCAACAGATACCAATACAATGATGTTTTTAATAATTACTAATTTGATGATGTAATTACTAAAATGTATTAACAAGAGAGAGAGAGAGGCATTGCTTTTTTCACCTTTATGTAAGGTCATCCCCTAAGCATAAATTTATGTAGACAGTTATAAATATAAATTTATATTTGTATGTTAGTTACAAGCAATATATATTGTTTGTAACTTAAAGTGTAATCAAAATAGCATTATATTTTTTAAATAATTATTACTATTTAATATATAATCTTAGTGTACTTTTTAAAACATTTTCTACAATTAATTTTCATATAGAATAAAAATTTGATCCATTGCAAATATTAAAAAACGTAAAATTTTATAGATTTAATGGATGCTTTATCCGATCCTCGTGCATTCCTTTCTGCACAAGAAAAGAGACTGGCTCAAATGAGAGCAATGGGAATTGAAGAGTCAGACATACAGACAAAAGATCTGAAACTAGGTCCTACTGGTTCCAGCACTAAGAAGGATGAAGAGAAAAAAGGTAAAAATTGCATGATGTACAGTGGTGCCTTGTACTTCAGATTTAATTCATTCCAGGAGACCATTTGAACCTTGAATTATTTGAAGTTCAAATCACTTTTTCTCATTATAAATAATGGAAAGTGAATTAATCTATTCCCAGACCCTAAATGATACCCATTTCAATAAACTTAAACAGCAAATACACATAATTTAAGATAGAAATAATACAAATGCTTCTTTTTTCAACTCACAATGAAGTGGTATTTTAAGATAGCAAAGTGTTTAAATTTTGTTTTAAAGTAATTTTAACAAACAAATAGTAGTATCATAAGGATACATATCAAGATATATTATAAATTTTAAAAAAATTTTAATAATACTGTAAAATAATATAACCAGTACTTTAGGCTGTGTACACATTAGGCATTTTGCGTTGTGTTAAACGTGCGTTAGCAGAGTACACACCGCACATTAGCTCGGCGTTCGATGACCGTTTAGTGGAGTGTTAGCACTGGCTCAGTTTGGAAATGGACGTGAAAGTAATTGCTTGTGTGTGCCTCCTCCATCGTCGCTATAAAAGACGATGGCAGAGGCAAAGAGAATTTTGGGTGCACCCAATATTATGAGATAGACTGACACATGGAATGTTTCTGACGTTGTATCCAAAACTAAGATAATATGAACCCAAATTTTTTAATTCTTTTAGAATATCTATAAAATCATTTGATGATGGCTGGTCTCGTCTCTTTTAGATTTCATCAATAAATAGATCAGTATCGAAATGATCGTTCTNATTCAGAGTTCTCATGTCACAGATGCTAAGGCTGTATACACATTAGGCATTTTTAAAGGCGCGTTTTGGTAACACACGTTTTAAAGAATCAAGAAGTTCTGCATAGGCATACATACTCAAGCGCGTGCTTTTGGTCAAACGCGCATTGATAGATTTTTATTAAAACGCGCATTTTGAGATATATGTGTAGGCATACATACTCAAACGCGCGCTTGGCCAAAAGCGCACATTTGAGTACGTATGCCTATGCAGAACTCTTGATTCTTTAACATGCGCGTTTAAAAACGCCTAATGTGTACACAGCCTTAGCCAACAGAGGAGGGATATAAAATTTAAAATGCATATTGGCAAATGAATGTAAAATGATGCAGTATTAAACAAGCAGTTATTTATTGTAGCATCATCACAATGCTGGACTGAAATTTTTAATCATATTTTTAATTTAAAATATATGCTCTCCATTTCAAATTAGTAGTGGCTTGCCCTTGTAAATCATACTTTTCCTTAGACAGATGATCAGCATGACTCTATTGTTAAACACCTTTTGGAGGAAAATTTTTGAATTGAAATAATGTGACTTCCAGTTTGCATCAGAAGCTTGTATATAGTTAATCGGGGCCTCCTGCCCCTAAGGTTTCCATATCTGGTTTTGTCTTTCATCTGTCTACCTCTGTTCTTGAGATTAAGGAAAGAAGGATTTATGGCCAGACAGACAGGTGGACGACAATGGGAATTCATAGGTCTATAATTTTTTCAAATTACAGCACAATAAAGTGGATGCTGTAACAGTCTGCTGTCTTAAAATAATACTTCATTCTGAATTGAAAAAAGAAATAAAACAAAAGCCATGATTTCAACAAAAAAGAACAATTAAATGCCCTACAAAATACCAAATGATTGCTGGATTACATTGGATTATAATAATGCTAATTACTAATTAAATGTCAAGTAATTTGGCCTAGAGGTACTATTAATTATAATTAAATTAATATTTAATACAGTCAATTCCAGTTAATTGGGTCGAATCTCAAAGAACGGAAACCAAACTAATAAATTAATACATAATTTAATCACTTAATTGGGACAACAACAGATAAGGAATTTAGCAATTTTTGGTATATTTTAGTAATCTTCTGAAAATATGTAGGCACTACATACACTAATGTCGTATAGGCCTAATGGTTGGCCTAAAGATTTTGTCTTTTGCTCAGGCGGTTCAGTTTTTCCAGAGGGGGTCAGCATAGCAGGACGTATTATGGGCATTTCATCTGAGGCAGACCTGAATGCAAGTTACTGACCCTGCTCTGGATTGGACTGGACAATCCCCTTAAAAGCAGAGAGACAAAGATGGCTGGACAATTTTTTGAGGTCTCTCGAGTGATTTGGAAGCCAGCTAGAGTTTGTTTTTTTTGTTTTTGTTTTTTTTTGTTTTCTTCATCTGACTTGTTTGAATAAATGAAGAATATCATACTTTGTACAAATTTCATTTGTTATTCATTTTGATTTTAAGAAACTATTTTCTGTAAATAATCCCAGTCCCTTTAATAGTGAGATTACTAAACTTAAATTTTAAACAACTTTTGCATACTTTCGTTTATTTTATTTACTGCAGCTATTTTATCCCTTCCTTCTCTAACTCTGGGTCAAAATATCACACCATAGCTACACCACATCTGATAAAAAATCACACATATTGATAATATATTTGAAATGAATTTTGAATTTGTGTTAAGTTTTTCAATTTTTACCAAGTATTATTATTATTAAATACTTTAATAATTTAAAAGAACTAAATATTATCATTTTCTGTGCTATAAATGCCAAAATATGGTACAAAAAATTATTGTGATTCAATATATTTCCTATCGAGTGCTATGTCTAATTATTGTGAAAAGGTGGGATGGCATAAAAAATCCAAAACAACTTCTTATGGATGGGGGTCCCCTTCCATCTCTAACTCTGGGTCAAATTTCTTTTGAATTTGAGTATTCAAAGTTAGTCATTTGATATACAAGGTACCACTGTATTAACACTCAGAAAATAATTTTTTAGTCATATTATTGTCATTTAGATGACTTCAAAATGGATCCAATTACGGGAGAGAATTTAAGGACTGAAAAAACATTCCATAAATTAATAAGAAAACAGCAAAAAGAATTAGAGACAATGAGAAGAAAACATCATAAGGAAAAAAATGCAGTGCAAAAGCAGCAATGTGCAGCCATTGATAAAATTGTTAAAGGAAATAAAAAGTAAGTTTTAGTTAAAAATAATAATTTCTAGGCTTGATGATAATTGATTTTCACAAATGTTTCTTTTTCAAAGTGATGATTTAGCAAATGATCCAGAGATAAGAGAATTAGTGGTGCAACAAATGCGACAATGGTCAGAACTTCTTGAAAAACAGAGGAAAGAAGAATGGGAATTATTAAAAGATCATCTCTGGCAGCAGGGTGAAGTTCTTAAAAAACTTATGGAACAAGCCCAAGCTGGACAAATGAAACAACTAGAAGCAAAATTTGAAAGGTAAATATGCAATTTCTTTTGTATTTATTAAACATAGCTTTCAATAAAATTATTGTTTACAATTCAATAAATCTGACTTACGGAACCTGTAACCGATGTGTATCACTTTTTCTTTCAACAACCAAACGTTTTCATAACCCCTTCTGGGTTCTTCATCAGGATAACAGCTGGATCGAATAGCAAACAACGAATTCAAGAAGTTTGAATAAATCCGAACTTCTTAGAGTTTGAATCGTTCCATTCGCTTAATCAGTCACGAGATATGATTGAAACTGTTCTAATTCGACGGTCGATGTTCAAATTTAAGAGAAAGATCCAAAATGTGTTATTGAGTTATAAACATTATTTAATATTCTCGTGTTCCCTAATATCATTTATTTTTAAGGCTTAATATAATTTCGTTATCACTCTTTATGGAGTAGGTTTTGCCACGCCATGGAAAGGCTGATCTCTTCTCTTGAATTAATACACTCAGATTTGTCATACGCCCTAAAAATTTCCATCTCTTCTAGCCATTTTAATTGGTGAATGTGGTGTGGAGGCAATTATCCGTGCTGCATTGAAGGATAATGATTAAAAAATAAAAGTTGGCCATAGTAATATGTATATAAAGAGCATTGATGTTATCAAATTTAAACACTCTCAAAAGCAGGAACTGTTGATTAAAAACACTTTACACTTGTACTTACTCTAGCACAAAATTTAATGAATACACAAACATTTTCAGCCATTTTAAGAAAACCTTCATCAAACAAAAGAGCTGTTTTGTACATCAAATAAGATATAAAACAGGTGTGTCCAACCTGTGGCCCAAGGCAAGTTCCAATGCGGGCCAATAAACATATAAACAAAACTGACAAATTTTTAAATTTAATTTTATTTATTTATTTCAACAGCATAAACTGAAAAAAAAAGTTTCACAAAGCTGTAAACCTTTATATATATTTTATTTTTGAGTGGAAAGGAAATATTTTCAAATACTTGGAAATGTGTGAATGAGGAAGGGATACTAAATAAAGCTAAAGTTGAGACTCAAAGAATTATAGACCCAAATTCGGGGAAAGGAGAGAAAGGCCAAAATATAAATAGTAGTGAGAAAGGTTAAATTGACTTTCTGTTATGCAAATATGGACCCTTAATTTTCCAACCTTCCTCACTTCTTATCTTTTGCCCTTTCTCTCCTTTCACCGAGTTTGGGTCTATAATCCTTTGAGTCCCAACTCCAGCTTTATTTAGTATTCCTTCCAGCATTGCATGATTTGGCTACTTTGTGTCAAAAATTTCATTTGGCACATTGGCCACTTTTTGGGCTACATATTATTTATAAATACAGCTCTTTTTTTGTCATAGAACGCAATGGAACAACATTCCACCACCTTTTTTCGATACATTTTAAAAGTTTTAAGAGAATTTTTTAAAATTTGATGTTTGGTCCACGTTGAATCGCTCTGTTGGGCACAGAAGATCGGCAACAAAATTATTAAGACGATCCTGCTCCTGCTTGTGTGCCAAATCTTGTGTACGATGCATGCGTACTGCAAACTTAGTTTGTGGTGACTGTGACATATTGCTCAGCTCATGTTTGGTTGTGTCATGATTTGGCAACAATGCAGGAATTACAGTGCTAATTGCGACTGGTGACTGTCATTTCGGCTGCTTTATATTTTAGCCCAGGACGCCCCCTAGTGGGCATTCCACCATCTTTTTTTCCCAAAAAAAAGGACTGTATAAATATATTAGTCAAATAAAAATGCACTTTAAAATGGTGTTTTGTCATTTTTTATTAATTAGAGACCAAAATAAAACAAAATATTTGTGTTTTTTCAAATAAATTTTTGTCTCCTTTATAATTAATGAATTTATCTATTTCTAAGTAAAAATTGAAAGTATCTGTAAAAGTAAATTTTTAAAATATCCTTTTTTTTTGTGATAAAGAGTTAATACCTATTACTATAATCTAGACATGTTAATCCTTAAATATACAAATATATTTAAGGATTGGGCCACAAGTATATTATATATACTTGTGGCCCAAACTCCATGACATCTTCTAATGTGGCCCAGAGAAACAAAAAGGTTGGACACCCCTGATTAGTGTTGCCACCTTTTCAAAATCGCTGACCCAGACGGTAGGTGGAGTTTGTTCAAACAGGAGTTCCTGACGTATGCGCAATGTCATTTTGCAATGCAAAGAATAACATGCAGTGCATGCCAGTTCTAAATCAGTTACAGTTAGGGACTAGGGAGACTTGGGTAGGAGTAACTAAATTAAGAAAAAGCAACTACAAATGACTTAGCTCTATTGGATATTGGAGACGTGTATGAATACGATTTGTACAAGCAAAAAAAAAAAAAAAATTGACAGGTCCCAGACAAAATTAATGAATAGACTCACCCAAACAGTGAGTCTATTCCCAGACTGTCCAGGTGAAAACCAGACAGGTGGTAACACTACCCCTGATATATGATATAAAATATTTTTAAAATAGAACATTCCATACATGCAATGATGCAGTTTACAAATTATTCAATATGTTATCAGACAATTTGATGTTATCAAATCTTGATGTTTAAAGATAGAGGGGCAAGAGGAGTTCATGTCATATCTCAAGTGTGGTCAGACTTAATAAAAATTTTATTCATTATGAATAATGAATATTGGCATTTAGAATATTTTTAGAAACTCATCCTCAAAATTAAGCCCTTTACCTTTTTATAATGATTAAGGATATAAAAGTTATTTTTTATAACATTTCATAACTGATGGTGCCATACACAATTTTAACTTCAGGCTAATGTATCTTAGTATTTCTTAAACATAAGTATTTTTGCCAGAAAAGTTATGCAACCCATCACTAGATTTTTTGATAATATAATACAAATGAAACAAGGCAGTTCAAGCATTCATATTTCTTGCAATTTGTTATACAACTGACTCCTAATAAACCAAATTTTGTTGAATTACTCACTTATCAAGTCTGATTTTATTTTTGTCCTACCATAAATCCCATAAGCTCAATACATAGTGTGAGAACCACATTTACAGGAAACCTTTATTATAAAATCATTATAAATTATTATAACATGTTTGCTGTTTGGAATACACTAATTTTCCATTTTGAAAAAACTATTGATTATCTCAGTGATTAAAATGTTTTCCACAGACTTAGTTCCTGTTTAAAGTGACACTTCATATGCATCATTCAGAAGTAATGAGTGAAACTCGATCATTGGGCCCGAAGTACTAAATCTCCAGGTTGAGTTATGGGAAAAACCCAGGAGAGACCACCTTATAAACAGGAGAAGACAATGACGACGAATGCTTTTCCCGTCGACAAGCGTGAACTTTTATGCATGTGTATGGGCTCTCCACCATCGCCGCTTCCTAGATCAACCTTTGGATTAGCACCTGAACTTAACCAAACTTGAACTAGCACATGAACTCAATTAAATCCTGAACCTCTTTGGACAAGCCTGAGGACGAACCTACATCAAGGACCTACTCGAACTCAAGGTATTTGTAAGCTCTCTCTCTCTTGATATGATAAGCTTCCCCCTTGATGGTTACTTGAGTTAGCAAGAAAGCTAGATCCTCAGTCTTAAATTCTGTAAACAGCCTCTCTGAATAAACGGGTATTTGTTAAATGAATAGTCTCTTGGAGTGCGCTTCTTCCGGGTGTCTCCCTCTGTCTCCATTCCAACCCTACGCTTCCACAGACACGACTGCTCGCGCATACCTGCGAATGTAATGGTCTGCGTGTCTACACAGAAGACACTGTGGTGTCAGTCCTAACAAAGTGTCATTGTGGTCTACACCAATGTGATGTCGACCCTTCGGTCCCGTGGTGGGAGCCTTTCGGCATTGTCACAATTGTGTGTCTATAAGCCAAAACAGTTTATACAAATAGAAAATCTATAATCCCAGTGAATTTATTTCATATGTAAGTTTTCTGTATTTTAAAGAATTTGTATCACATTAAGACATACTTAATATAAAACAAATGCTTAAATTATGTACAAGATACATAACTACATGATATGTTAGCATCTCTAAAGTCAAAATATGAATGTAAAAAAAATCTAATAATGTTTTGTATCTACAGTAATGATGTTCCGTTGATATGAAATGACTAATTAAATCTAATAATGCTTTCAAAATTTTAAAAGAATTTCTAAAACATGTGAAACAGATATTTATGAGTCAATTCAGTGCATCAAAGACATCTTTGAGTGCTTTTAACATTTATAATGCATATTTCAGGCATTTTAACATGCATATGCATGCACACATATTGCAATTTTAAACACAAAAATTCAGTCTTTAGTTATTAGAAACTGCTTTGATGATTTTTCAATTATTGAATATTAGCATAAAATATGATATTCAGACCATGGAAAAAACATTAAAATATTATGTTAGGTGAGGAAATATACAAATAAATCTAACTAGAATGTGTAGAACTTTTTGGCCACTCAACTTTGTAGCTTTAATTGAAAACTCTAACATAGGAGCAACTTATTGAAAGTTATATTATCTGATTCTATGTATTGATTATTACACATAAAATGCTAGGGAATTTAATAATAAATGTAATTTTGAATTGCAATGTAATAAAATAATAATTAATGTGATTTAAATGATATCACTTGTTCTTGTCTGTTAAAGCATTTTGTTTTTTCAAATTTTGAACCTTTGACATCAACTAATGTCAAGTGATATCACATGATTAACATCACTTAATATCATTTGACAGCATGTCCAGAAACTGGCACAATGCAGAAGTGAATGACACTGTTGGGACCTCAACAGAGCTGTAGAGCATGCCCACATTTGAGCAAAAAAGTCAAAGGAACCATACCTCTTTACGTGCCCCTTTGCAAGATATAGCCTCCCGAGATCAGCCTACTTCCAGGGCACAAGCGAAAGTCACACCACGTGCTCTGCCAAGGCTATTGCATTTAATTATTCAGCCCAGGTGACTACATTGGCTTTGAATAGCCCACT